GATATATCATACTTTGGGAACAGTTCTTGCCATCGTAGCCAGGCATACAGGTACAAGTATAGTCATTTACTTCATCAGTACATGTAGCACCGTTTTCGCAAGGATTAGGATTACAATCATCGATATCTGAAAAATACAAAAAAATGTTTGCACAATTAAAATTTGCCAATGCAACTGAGTGCACAAATTCAACATAATTATACAGGTTTCGTGTACGGGAAAAGAGAAATTCCAACTTCGATTAAAATCATCGTCTAATTTATCTGTGGAGGAAGCAAACGATTTAGAACCACGTGGATGTAACCCTAATCTGGAGAATTAAGTAATCTTGAAGAAAAGAGATCTACAGCTATCATACTTTCAGTACAGTTCTTGCCACCGTATCCAGCCATACAGGTACAAGTATAGTCATTCAATTCATCGTTACAAGTTGCACCATTTTTACAAGGAGCAGGGTCACAGTCGTCAATATCTGGAAAGCGCAAATAAAGATCGAACAATTGAAATTTACTACATGAAATAAAGTGAATGCATGAAAATGTAGGTCTCACATATAAGTAAAAGAGAAGGTCTTCGATTCAGATTATTGTCTATTAATCAGGAGAAACGTGTGAGTAAATCGATTTCCTTTGAAAGTTTCAATGTTATGGTAGAGGGCCAGCCGTATGATGGACTGGGCAAAAACCCGGGAGTAGGAGTCATTAAAAGAACAATTCCAGATTTTTTTAGTCTATCTTGCTTACGACAGGAGATAGTAGAAATAATCTATCATACTTTGAGAACAGTTCTTGCCATAGTAGCCAGTCATACAGGTACAAGTATAGTCATTTACTTCATCAGTACAAGTTGCACCGTTTTCGCAAGGATCAGAATGACAGTGATCGATATCTGACAATAAAACTTTACCGATTCAATTTTCCTTCAGAAACTGTGTGAATACATACAAAGCGTGGGTTTCACGTAGGAAAAGAAAAGAAAAGAAGATCGAAGGTTGATTCAAATAGACGAGTACGTAGCCTTTTACTGGACAAATAAGTAAACAAGGAGCAATATGATCTTTCCTACTTTGAGAACAGTTCTTGCCATCGTAGCCAGCCATACAGGTACAAGTATAGTCATTGACTTCATCGGTACAAGTTGCACCGTTTTTGCAAGGATCGGGATGACAATCATCGATATCTTAAAAATACAAATAGATGTTGAAAAAATCAAAATTTGAGCTTCCAAACCTAGTGCACAAATGCAGAATCGAGGCCTTGCGTACGAAAAGAAGAATAATACCCCGTAGCCAGCCATACAGGTACAAGTATAGTCATTGACTTCATCGGTACAAGTTGCACCGTTTTTGCAAGGATCGGGATTACAATCATCGATATCTTAAAAATACAAACAGATGTTGAAAAAATCAAAATTTGATCTTCCAAACCTAGTGCACAAATGCAGAATCGAGGCCTTGCGTACGAAAAGAAGAATAATACCCAACTCGTTTTGAATTTAAATAAATTTGGCCTCTATTGCGCAGAAGGCGAGGAATGTAGAACCATGAGTAAGTACTTTTATTCTCTACAAACTAGTTTCTCTAAGAGGAAAATGATATATCATACTTTGGGAACAGTTCTTGCCATCGTAGCCAGGCATACAGGTACAAGTATAGTCATTTACTTCATCAGTACATGTAGCACCGTTTTTGCAAGGATTAGGATTACAATTATCGATATGTGAAAATTAAAAAATAACGGTGCACAGCTAAGACTTTATTTTTAAAAATGCAGATCAGCGAAACGTTCGTAATGCATCTATACTAGGATCAAATTCAAGAGATTTGTGTTGGATGAAATTGCTGCCTTTACGCTTTAATCAGCCACAACTCTATTGAGAAACCGTCTTACCTGTTATGCAGTTTGTACCGTTGTAGCCAGCGGCACAGACACAGGTGTAAGTATTGTTATCTCCACCCGGTGAACAGGTTCCGCCGTTCTGGCAAGGGTTAGTATCACAATCAGCTTTAAAAAATGCAACAATTAAACAACTGTAAGTGAGAATGTTGAAGAGCAAACTTTTCTTTTAATCTGTTGAGCGGGGCCATTATTCTAGCCTCCCGCGGAGCAGTAAAGAGCGTAAGAAATGATAGGGTTGAACAATATGTACTGATGCCTTTTGTTTTTACGACATTATCTGACATTCTTGTTAAATACCGCCGAAAAGCATGCTGATAACAGTAATAGTCGAAATACTGCGTAAATTAAGCCTGTAAATTAGGAGTGCGGAGAATGGAAATTATCAACTTTTCGTTTGTGGATCCACCTAACAGATCCTATTTGGATTCTTGTTACTTCCAAACTTTCCGTGACATAAACGGACTGAAGGTAGGTGTACCTGACCGTGTTTGTTTGAATTGTCTACAGCGTTATCTGTTAGGTGGATCCACAAACGAAAAATTGATGATTTCCATTCCCACACTCTTAATTTACAGCCTTAACAACCGTCAATTGTTAATCAGCGATGCGTTGTTTATCATTTTGTATGTGATCTGTGCGATACAGATTATGTCGGCTACACGGCCCGACACCTTTTACAACGTGTCGCTGAACACAAAAATTCGGCAATTGGCAAGCATTTTCATGGAGCGCATGGTAGGAGGGATCGTTTGAATGATAGTCATTTAAACATTCTGAGAAACTGTCAAAGCAAATTTGATTGTTTAGTGTTTGAAATGCTTTATATTAAGAAATTCAAACCTAATCTGAACGTGCAAACAGACTCCATACGTGCTAAACTTTTTGTTTAACCCGGAGATTATTTTCTCTTATTGTTCGTTTTTAGTATTTATAGAACTTATTTTTAATATACATTCTTGACTTGATAATGACGTTATGTTAACGTTGAAACGTCGTCGATTTTAGCTTTCAATGCAGAAAATGCCAATTAATTTTCTAGAACTCTTTATCATACAATAAACTGAGTATTTGTTTATCTTTTTTACTCGTTTCTATTCCGATAATGGGTTAATTAAGTCGCCAAAGTATTGCATAACCTCGCCTTTAATATTTTAAAATCATTTCTCTGTCTTTCTGGTTGCAATTTTTTTCATTCACCACTTTCATGTCTGCAGGGTTATACAGTCTTCCCTTCTGTTTTTGCAGAAATTGGATCTCAATCAATGATTTTTCCATGTCGAAACGTATTTTCAAGCCGGCAGCTTAGGTCACTGATTGTGACCTGCTTCCCTAATAGGTCCTAAGCAGTTGTTTTGTGAAAATATGTTATGCAAACAAGTGGTAGTCGACACCGACGGAAGTTATTGGAATCACGTGAAGTTGAGATCAGAAACGAAATAACGAAATACGTCTTTATGTTATTGAATAAGCTGCCTGGTTTCTGTACCTAAGTTTCACTTATTCTTGCCTATGATGAATTATTAATCTTATTAGAGAAACCATCACCTCTTCGCTCATTGCTTTTTTTTTTAATTTTGAAAAGAAAAATACTGAAAATTAATTTTGATCAGTTTTACTATCAAAATAGCATTATTTGAAACATTCGAAACGAGCAAACCTTTTCCTTTCGCTGTTATGGATCGTCTGCTTAAAAAACTGACAGTGAATGATTACCTATTTCCCCGAGCAACATTTTCAATATTCATGGCTTAGCAAGAAAAGTTGCTTTAGGGTTATTTTTCGCGTGGTCGCACGAAACAAAGAATTTGACCGCAAAAAAACAATTGGGAAAAACAATTATTTGCAGTCACTTAAGTGTATATTGCCTTTGGCACATTTTTTATTCTCAGAGGATTAGTTTTGAGTTGTATAGTTTCATGTTTTTCAGAATGGCAGATGTTGTATTCCGTGGATTTATTTTCGTGTTGTAACAAACATGTCGCCGAGCAACCTCGGTATTATGTTGTGTTCCTTAAAGAAAAATTTCAAATAGCATGCTCATTTGAAACGGCTTGAAACCGTTCTTAACACGGAAATTTAGATAATTTTCTTGTTACACAGGATTATTTATAAGAAAATATAAGAAATTCTACAAGTGTCAAACCGCTGACTTCTAATATGCGTCTAGCATCACGCGCAAAATGTGTTTCTCTAATCTTCTATGACGTACAACTGAGCATATTTTAATTCTTCAAACGGCGTAATCGGTCAACTTCTTTCGATATTTGNNNAACTTCCTCGCCTGGAAAATTTAGGGAATGAAATCTAAGGGATATTACTTGTTTGTGTGGGAAAATAATCAGTTATTCAAACCGACCCCGTCCGTTACCAGCAATAACGTAATTCGAATAAGTGAACCGTCACTAGAGCTGTCGCAGTTTTGTGAATTAGTTTTGAACTGATGGCCTGCATCGAAGACCACTTCAAAGAAAAACAACGAAAAAATGGAGTTTTCTAACAGTTGGTGGTAAAGCTGTATGCGTGAAATACCTTGTTATATTCGATCGGGTTTCCTTTAAAGCGTAAACACTTTTATCTCTTGCGTACAGGAAAATAGGTTTTAAATTCTTGATAACGCTGAACAGAATACAAGCACCTCGGATGGAGTACAAACACTACTTTCATGATACTCCTAATGAAGAAACTTTTGCGTCTTTGAATAATTTTACGACTAAGAAGAGGAAACAGAAAACGTTACCTTCGCAAAGATTTAGAGATCCCAAGCACATCAGCGCCAAGAAAAAAATGGCAAACTCAGGGAATCTTGGTTTCTTGGCCATTTCGCGTGTGATGAGCACTCGATGAGTGACTTGCTTTTAGCCAAGAAAATGTGGTGTGAGCTTTCTCCTGCGAAGCTACTTCTTGTTCAATTGAAACACGGTGTAATCTTGGGTAAACGAAGAAACGAATACGGGAAGTGAGGATATTACAAACGAGTAATGTTGCCTAATTCTCCACCAGATAGAATTTTGGGTGACAATGTTTAAGTTTGAGCGCAAAACTTGTGAAATTTTGTTATGACAACTCTGGGTTTGTCACTAAGGTATTATCCACTCAAAGTGGTTGGCGAGCTCATAAAGAACGTTGGCAATTTGACCCTCTTGGAAAAGGGCGGTTGGAGGTGGGCGTGGCTCGCTACTATTCGCTGTTTTAATCTGCCTCGTTTGCATTTCCCTCTCTTGAAACTGATTGTAGATGGTCTAGACGGTTTTTATTTGAGATTACACCGACGATGTTTCGTTGTTCTATTACTTAGGATGCATAAACATCGGGGAAAACATTTTCCTACTTCCTTTCGTTCAAATACATCGAAGGGATCGCGTCATATATTAAGGTACGGATCACGCTACAGGTTCGTCTTCAAAATGACAGCTTAAGTGTAGATCAGTATTATACTTTCGATAGAATTTTATAACGGCATGTAAATAGACATCCTTTGTTTGGTATTCTGCAAATTGTATCCAGCACGGCGAAGTTTCAGCAACGAAAGCGCAATTTTGAACGAGGAAAAAAATGAGAGAGTTTCAGACTATATAAATGCGGCCACAGAATAAACGCCAGCCTTGTTTAGAACAAGGTATAATTAATTCGAGGATTGTGCGAAAAAAATTTTAAGTGCAACAAAACTTGGTAATCTACTCCATCCTTTGAAATTTATGCCAAAAGAGCGAGAACTTTGTACATTGATCTTGTTTTTTGAAAGCCCAAAGAATTTTCCTGTAAAATCTCGCGTTAAGAATTTTAGAGTATCCAAGGGAGTGTTTTTGGTGAAAACTTTAAGGCTTGTCTCAGCCCCCACCCAGAATGCTGAGAAAATCTTCTAGGATGTAAAGAGAATATCGGAAGGGAAAGAGGCTAACGTCAAAACCACCCCGAAACTGAAAAAAACAAAAATTAAGCAAAACAAAACAAAACAAAACAAAAATTAGCATTTCAAAATTGTTATGATAACTTTAGCATTCGACATTAAGCGGCGAGACAGATACCTGTTAGAGTGACTAGAGGTTTTGTAATTTTCCCTGTGTTTTATGCAAGTCAATAGTTGGCAATATCAACTTGTAACGGACCTGCTTATTCGAAAAACTAATGCAGATGATATCCCAGCCAGACGTCATTGAGGTTTATCCAATACATTACTATTATTGCGACGAAGAAAATTACAAAACTAAAAACCGCTTTTTTTCAAAGAACAGAGGATATTCATACAAACCAAGTCACCGTTTGTACGGAAAGACTAGGGACTTTAAGCAGTCAGGACGGCAACGCCACGGAAGACGTCGATTAAAAAGCGAGTTTCTACTTTTAGTTAGAATTTCGAAAATGGCTGCACGTGTTTACCGTCTCATAGGGCGCCAGACCTCAAACTTAACATAACGCATAAAGTAGCGTTGAGTTCCGAATGTAAATTAAAATAATTTGCCGCCGCGGTTTCGCTTGGCAGACGACGCAAATTTTGGTGATTTCACGTAGTTGTTTTGCAAAGGACGGCTAAGAAATGTACAAAGTTCTAAAACCGTACGTGCTGGGCTATTGTTCTGCCAATTAGATCTAATTTTTTTCCACGTTCTCGTTGCCGTAGCCGTCGTGGTTTGCTTAAAGTCCCTACTCT